GGCGGCTTAGCAGCTGCCGCCGCGTGGTCCCGGGTGGTCCCGCGGAGGTCCACAGTGGTCCAAGGGAGGTCCTGGTAGTTGGCAGACAGGGGAAGAGATTAGAGATAGCGGGAAATGACCGGTAGATGGAATATGGATATTACAATGGGTAAATGTTGGGGAGTCGAATGGAATAGGGATGATAGCTGTAAGGACGTTTACAAACTAACTTATTTTAAGTTAATTTAACATTACTTCTTACAACTTAATATTGTTACTTTTTATTTTACTTACTAATTCTCATACAAATCAATGAGGACAAAAGTTATGCTGCACGCACAATGCGCGGTGCAGCACGTAACTTCAATACAATCTGTCGTTGAACTAGCAAAGAAACTAGCTAAGTCATTCAGTATTATGAACACGCAGTTTGTACCTATAATTTCGACGGGATGTTTTCAATTGTCACCGCAAGTCATTGTCTTACACGGTGCCGCACGAACCCATCCCAATTGAATATTACTACCCATCCTCCGAACCGCACTGTAATTTAACATTTTTATCTGATGGCCTGCAGCTTAGCGGACGTTATAATTTGCGCGTGCGGCACGTGCACGATGCGTATCGAGCCTCTGCGCGTCGCACGCGGGGTTGGGTCCAATCGAACCAGCGCGAACTGTGCCGCCGTGCGAGGTCATTGTTGTCTTCCAGCCCCCTTCCTCTGGTGGTCGACACGTGTCGCAGTGCGCCAAACGGCGGTGCCGATAGTGACAGTTTACTAGCAAAACTGACGGACAGACAGTCGAGTTAGCTGGAAGGTAGGCTAAATTATCGGGCCCCATATGCGTTTTAAACCCTCTGCGGCATGGATGTTGGCTGTAACAATCCATCGTTCTGTCCCACTGGATCTGATGTGCACGCTACAGCCAGACGCTGCAGTTAATTGTCGCACGCCATTGGCTGATTTAGCCCACTCTGAATCGTAATCAGTTTTATCTAGCGCGGTCTATCATGGTCCCACATACGGTCTCAGACTGTCCCATACGGTCCCAGATGGTCCCTTGCGGTCTCCGGAGGTCCCACATGGTCCCAGGCGGTCCCACACAGTCCGTCACGGTCCCTGGCGGTCTGGTACCAATCCGGTGCGGCTCGCGGCGACCCCGGCTCATTGCGTGCGGGTGGCCGGCCAACCCGGCTCGCCCGGCACGTGCCCACACCGGCATTAATTGCAACAATAAGCGACACGGGCACAGCTCGAGTGTGCCACCGCCCGCCGGCGGCCCGGCCGACAAATTGTCTTTCCGCAAACACGCGTCACCGGCAATCATGTGGTCGACCCAATAACCCTCGGGGCGCGGGGCGGTCAGATTAAAAAACGCCCATTACCGTGTTTATCGGCGGCGCCGGCGCTCGCCGTATCGGCCGGATTCATTTATAACCATCGGCTGTCTCACTTCCATCATCTAACCGCGCCGGGTACTTATCAAAATGGTAATCAGGCCCAACTTGGGCAAAATTCACTCCGACCTAGCGCGGTTTGAATATGCATTTATGCGCGCAGCCTCATTTTAATGCCGGGACCATAATCTTGTCAGCATTTTTCAGAGCATAAGGGTCCAAAACATCACCATTTTTCCAGAGGCTGACTTGATTAAATCTAGTTTGTGCGAATATTCCTTGATTGCAGGACGTCATCAGCTCAACCTGCAAAAATACGGGAGCGTCGCAATGAATACGATGACTAGCCACTGCATTTGACTCAGTAAAAGTGCGGCATTATCCGGTGGTATAAATCCTATGGATGGTCATTCAGTGTCGAGGGCGGTTGTCGATCGTCGATCATCGAGGAACTGCGTAGTGGGAACGGAGTAGAAATTCTAGCTCATGGTATCCAGCAAATTATCTCGCACATAGCCATTGATTTATTTGTGCCATTGCGTTTGATGTTCGATATTTGAATCTGTATTGATCTTCCTTGGGGTCTCATCAACAAACGTGCCTCGGAATTCCATTCGGTTGCTATTAAAAACAACTTGATTTATGTAAACGTATCACTAAGTTTTCTTGATTTTGCTTTCGTCTTGTGGTTCTTCAAATTCCTCTTTACGGATGTCTGATTGACATAAATTCTAGATGGCCAATATCTCTGCGCACGTAGAACCAAACTATTCTCTCAGTCTCCTGTCTCCCGTAAACCATTTTCCGGTGGGCGGTGCCGTCTGCAGCCACCATCTCCTCTCCTGCCGTGCTGCCACTCCGACCTTTTCACCCCATTGGCCTGCTCGGTGATCGGTCAGTAGCCCGGGGTGATCGGTCTGCCGGTCCGACGGCCGGGTCGGTGTGCGGCGACGGGGCACGCCCCTCGGCCTCGCCTTGCCATCGCCCTCGCCGCACCCTCGCCCTCGCCCTCTCCCGAGCTCCACTCCGAGCTCGATCGGATCGAGCCTCATTGGGCCGTGAGTCGCTGTGGCGGCACCAAACGAACGAGGAAGCCACTTCAGCAGTTTTGGGCGGAATCGATTTGGTGGGTTTTATCGGAGTCGTTCTTTGATGCAGTGTTGATGGTGGAGGAGCTTGAATGTGAAAGGAGGCGCATGAGCATGGATATGACTGGACATTTGACTTAGCATGACAGCACTGGGATATTGGGTGGGTTCGAGACCGTCCAACACTTATTAGTTGCTGAGTCCCACCACGGTGGCCGGAGATGCTTCCCTGGGGCTCAGTTCCGACCGTGGCAGCATCTGTCCCGGTCGCGGTACTAATGCGCTTACCGGGCGCTGAATGCGTTGTCTCGGTGCCGGCCCGCTGAATTAGTGGGGTAGCCGGCGGCCGAGGGTGTCGCCGTCGCGCCGGCATTGTTGACTAGGCCGGATCGGTACGGACCGGGTGATTATCACTGGCTCTGTCGCCGGCCCGGGCGGCACTGGCCCATTCTGTCACTGACGCAAGGGACCTCCGACGTTAATTAGATGGGTGGCGAAACACAAATGGGACGACGAGAGATGTTCGACGTTATTCTGTACGCGTGTTATATCCTGTAGAACATACACATTACGCTAGGCCCATCATTTTCCTTGGGCTTCAGGATCGCCTCTCAAAGCTGCTTTCGAAAATAAACAATGTGATGTAAAACTGGTACCGCCTCAACGCTGCTCAATGCCCTTAAATCATCTCGCTGTAAACCACTGCCGCTGACTCATTCTTGTCCCATGACCCTTCACTGCTGGTGGGTCACTGCTGCTACCACCAACACTCGCAGCTCCTTCCGAGCTGAGCGACGAAACAACGGTAGCGACGACGACGTCGGCGTCACCGTCGACGACAGCGTCGGTCGCCTCTCGCGCGGGGTACCGTTTAATTATCTCGGCCGTAACAGCCATTTACGTCCTGCGCCAGTCACTTTATCACCGACTAACTGCTGTATCAATTATGCAGCTGGCGGCGTCCATTATGAGGCCGGCGGCGGCGGCGCCCCGGCCGGGCGTCGCTGACGCCTCCCGGGGGACCGCTAGCACGCAGCGATGATGACGGGCTGGCGTGACCCGGCCCGACCGCTGACACCGATGACGGTGGCCGTAATCGGTGACGAATTGAGAGGTCGCCACCTGGGTAATTTGCGCCGCGAGTGGCCACGGGGTGATAGCACTGTTTGTGTGTTTTAGGTCTGGTTTTGGAGAAAAAGTTAATTAGTTTCGATCAGTTATTGTGCTGTATGCCATTTATTACTCCAACTGAATCAGATAAATGTCGACAGAGTCATCATGTGGAATGTTTTTGATATTGAAAATCGTCAATAAATAAGTTTACTGAAATGCAAACTCCTGTTGATACAAATTGCAGGCTATTGGTAAAAACTCTGGATTGAAAAGAGTTATTTTCATAATGACCAGATATGAGTGGTCCTGCATAACGTTTATAACTTGTAGGGAAATAAAATAATAAAGTTCAAAATTATACTCATTAAAAGGCGCTTAATGTGTTATATATATAAGAAGTCGATTATCCCCTGATGAGTAAATTTCCCAGCATCCCTTTCTCCTTCGCAAATTCCCGTAGTCCGTTCTGTCTTATTTCTCTTTCTCACTTTTCTTCCACATTTTCTTTTCCTTCCCGCCGTCGAGTTTTTCTACCCCGGTGAAAAATGTACCATCATCCCGGCTCCACACTCATATGAGCAATAAGCCCCGCCGTCGTGGTCGCTCAGTGCCCCTTTTCTCATTATCGTTCCAATTTAAACTTGCCGTGGCGCCGGAGTCTGTGGGCGCTTTGATGCCGTGTCGTTAATAGAGAGCCGGTCTGAGGAGCGGGCCGGACCGTGATGCGTGCCGGATGGCCGGCCCGTTATCCGATTACCGCGCTATTGGTGATTGGCCGTCAGTGGTGAGGAACTGCTGTGTCAGCGAGCCGACTGACGATATGTTCGACTCACCGGGCTGACACATCGAGCCTGACACAATCCGTAACACAGTCCGACACACCCAGACTGACAGGCTGACACACTCCTGGCAGTCTGACACTATGGGCCAGGAACATACAGTCTCACACAAGCGGCCTGGAACAGCGTGCATGACAAATGGTCTGACACAAACGTTCTAATCCACTAAGACTGATACATTCAGTCTGACACACACAGTCTGGGATATCCTCTTTGATGCCTACATGCAACAGCCCACACGGGTTTTGTAAGGGTCTCCAAATATTCATTTCTTTTCAGCCAAAGTTCAGTCATTGTGTTGTGATGCTTGAGCTTCGCATTATTAATCGTGTTTGTGAGGCAGAGGCCCGCTATCGGTGAATATAACCTGACAATTTCCAAGTTCTATATCCACTTGAGTGGCGCAGATCACAAGATGAGGAACAGAACATAGCCCTAATGTATTCACCTATGCTGTTTGATATGTCCGCGTTGTTGAATACATCAGAACCCCGACCGATGTCAGTGTTGACAGGGGCTCGTCTCTATCTCGTTCTCTTCCCAGTGCCGACTCTTTGATTTACATCCATTTCCTTCATTTCAGGTCTGCAGAATCAAAACGAGATGCTGGACAAAGTCTTTGATCAGGGAGGCCCACTGAATAAGAAGAAGAAGAAGAAGCGGAGGCACAGGTCGGTAAACCGGTTCAGATGTCGCTGCGACGGAGATTCTGATGTCCTGTGCAATTACATGAGATAAGATATATCCGATGTGTTCTCACTCTCATAAGACTTGCATGGATAATGGATAGGTATGTTGTGATTGTGATAAAACTTCTGTTGCTAATAATGTAAAAACCGATCTTACCCTTTGGTTATAGCACATGCAATAAAAGCACCTAGCCATTATTGCACTGAAACGTGTAGAAGTCTTATTCACGACCGCACGTATATGGAAATTATAATTCAATGCCAAAATAAAAAACTGTGCCAGACCTGAAAACAACGCTTTTTCGGGAGTGTAAAGTGACAGAGCGTCTCTCTCGTTTCGGCAGGACCATCTTCACCAGTTTTCAGGTGGAGGAGCTGGAAAAAGCATTCAAGGAGGCGCACTATCCCGACGTCTACGCCCGGGAGATGCTCTCACTGAAGACAGACCTGCCTGAGGATCGGATACAGGTGAGTTCCGGACCCCGGAACGACGAGCTGGCAGCCATCTTTGAACAGTCAGATCAAGATCTGATACAGAAACGCGATGGGTATCTAAATACGAAAGGGAAATGAATTACTTGCCATCACGGAGGTACCTACTGCAGGAATTTCGCCATCGCATGCAAATCATGAACCCATCGCATGAGCATTTCCAGCCTGCCAAAGCTACATGTCTAATAATCCTCGCCATTTATACCTAATCTGCTTTTTCTCCGAGTGAGCGGGCAGCGTCTGAAAAATGTTCGGCGGCAGCTGATCCGCTGGTAAGCCGCCGCGTCGGGTCCGCCCCCGGGCTGGCGTGAGGAGCGAGTGGCACGTGATTCAGCCCTGGCGAGAGGGCAGAGGGGGAGGGGAGGCAGACCTTGACAGGCCGACCCGTTACCCCAGAGCACTCAGCACGGGCTGGTTATAAAGGATTGGAAGATGTTCCTTCTATGCGTGTTGGTCTGAGAAGGGACTCGAGAGACCCTGAGGATGCAAGTGACAGAAGAAGGGCAAAAGTCCACCCTGTCTGGTGATATCGACTTCACTAGCAACTGCACTTAATTTTGAATGTGTTTAGGGAAGGTAAGCCTAAAAATGCTGGCTTTCGTGCATGGTTTGTGTTGCCTGGCAATCATGTGGAGGCAGGCTGCCTATCTGATGGCATTGGAGAACGAACAAAATGCACAGTCATTCTGGAACTTCAAGTGATCTTAGCACGTTTCCTCGCGCTTGAATCATGAAAATAAATAGCATATTTGAAGATTCAAAATGACAGTGATGACATGTATTTTATATGAAACTAGAGGGACAGCATTACGCGCAGCGTAATAAATTAAGTTTAATCAAAATCGGCCCATTACCGGCCGAGTTATGGCCAGAATAAATTTGGTGACTCCTCTGGGCCGGCGGTGCTCTGTTCCGGTATTCATTGCCAAAGGTCAACGACCTCCGACTCTGTTTTCCCTCATTTTCGCAGCGAACAAGTGCTTTCTGATCGGCGACGGCCGCGGCCCAAAATTCCGCAAAGATGCGCCCGCCACGTGCAAACCACCGAACCCACCCCCACCAAAATTTAATACGACAAACAGATGCACGCGTCCGACTTGCGTCGAAAATTTCACCCCCGTAGCCCGCACCGTTCCGGAGCAATAGCCCGCCAAGCGTGACTGACGCGTTACATACATACATACGGACGTTTTGATTTTTATATATGTAAACTAGAGGGACAGCATTACGCGCAGCGTAAAGAGGGACAGCATTACGCGCAGCGTAATAAATCAATTTTCAATAAAATCGGCCCAGTAGCGGCCGAGTTATGGCCAGAATAAAGTTGGCGTCTCCTCCTGGCCGGCGGTGCTCTGTTCCGGTATTCATTGCCAAAGGTCAGTGACCTGCCGGCTCTGATTTCCCTCAGTTTTGCAGCGAAGAAACTGAGCCTAAGGCGCGTGCTCTCTGCTCGGCGCCGGCCGCGGCCCAAAATGCGGCAAAGATGCGCCCGCCACGTGCAAACCACCGAACCCACCCCCACCAAAATTTAATACAACAAACAGATGCACGCGTCCGACTTATGTCCAAAATTCCACCCCAGCAGCCCGCACCGTTCCGGAGCAATAGCCCGCCAAGCGTGACTGACGCGTTACATACATACATACATACGTACAGACATTTTGATTTTTATATATGTAGACTAGAGGGACAGCATTACGCGCAGCGTAAAGAGGGATAGCATTACGTGCAGCGTAATAAACCAAGTTTCAATAAAATCGGCCCAGTAGCGGCCGAGTTATGGCCAGAATAAATTTGGCGTCTCCTCCTGGCCGGCGGTGCCCTGTTCCGGTATTCATTGCCAAAGGTCAGTGACCTGCCGGCTCTGATTTCACCCAGTTTTGGAAGCGAAGAAACTGAGCCTAAGGCGCGTGCTCTCTGATCGGCGACGGCCGCGGCCCAAAATGCTGCAAAGATGCGCCCGCCACGTGCAAACCACCGAACCCACCCCCTCCAAAATTTAATACAACAAACGGATGCACGCGCCCGACTTGCGCCCAAAATTTCACCCCCGTAGCCCGCACCGTTCCGGAGCAATAGCCCGCCAAGCGTGACTGACGCGTTACATACATACATACGTACAGACATTTTGATTTTTATATATGTAAACTAGAGGGACAGCATTACGCGCAGCGTGATAAATCAATTTTCATTAAAATCGGCCCAGTGGCGGCCGAGTTATTGCCAGAATAAATTTGGCGTCTCCTCCTGGCCGGCAGTGCCCTGTGCCGGTATTCATTGCCAAAGGTCAGTGACCTGCCGGCTCTGATTTCCCTCAGTTTTGCAGCGAAGAAACTGAGCCTAAGGCGCGTGCTCTCTGATCGGCGCCGGCCGCGGCCCAAAATCCCGCAAAGATGCGCCCGCCACGTGCAAACCACCGAACCCACCCCCACCAAAATTTAATACGACAAACAGATGCACGCGTCCGACTTACGTCGAAAATTTCACCCCCGTAGCCCGCACCGTTCCGGAGCAATAGCCCGCCAAGCGTGACTGACGCGTCACATACATACATACATACATACATACATACATACATACATGCATACATACATACATACGGACGTTTTGATTTTTATATATGGGACTAGAGGGACAGCATTACGCGCAGCGTAATAAATCAATTTACATATATAAAAATCAAAATGTCCGTATGTATGTATGTATGTATGTATGTATGTATGTATGTATGTGACGCGTCAGTCACGCTTGGCGGGCTATTGCTCCGGAACGGTGCGGGCTACGGGGGTTAAATTTTCGACTGAAGTCGGACGCGTGCATCTGTTTGTCGTATTAAGTTTTGGTGGGGGTGCGCTCGGCGGTTTGCACGTGGCGGGCGCATCTTTGTGGGATTTTGGGCCGCGGCCGGCGCCGAGCAGAGAGCACGTGCCCTAGGCTCAGATTGTTCGCTGCGAAAACTGAGCAAAATCAGAGCCGGCAGGTCGTTGACCTTTGGCAATGAATACCGGAACAGGGCATCGCTGGCCAAGAGGAGACGCCAAATTTATTCTGGCAATAACTCGGCCGCTACTGGGCCGATTTTAATGAAAATAATCCAGCTACAAGAAGATTATGCAAAGGCCGATGGATGAAAGGCTGAACCGTGGCTGAACCTAGAAACCTCACTTGGGGAGCTGTCGCGCGCAGAGAGATTCTCTTCGGTGCAGTGCTGCCGGCTTTCTCGGCCCGACAGCCGCCCGAGCTGTCCTCAGTCGGCACAAACCCAGCATTCCCACCGCCTGGTCAGCTCCAACTTCTGTCGCAGTCTCGAGGTGTTCCGACCCAGGTCAGAATGGGCTGTATGTATCCATATCCACGATACGAGTTCATACGTCATACCGCGGCGAATATCAGAGCGCTTCTAAAAGCCGCTGACTCTCGGAGATTCGGACTCATCCAGGCGTTTCGGTGTAGGTACTCATGGCTTCAAGGCCGACAGCTACTTAGCAAATCAGACTTAGGAGTGAGCCACCGGCCAGAGGACCACCCAGGGAATCACCCTGGATTGTCGACTTATGTCGGACCGGTGAACAAATCACCGACTGACGTATGTGCCGAGAGAATACTGGCGTCACAACTAGCTCGTCGAGGACAACCTAGCGCTATACCAGAGGCTTGCAGAGGACAGATTCATGGTTTATTCTCATTAGATATCTAGAATCTTGTGCAACTAATATAGTTATCTGCGTCGGATTAGGCTGAATTACGGCGTTTCTTAGTAATGAGCGAATTTCTCTAATAGCTTGGTGTGGTTTTCGGAAGAGGGGAATGCCCCTGTGCAACGATCGAAGAGATAGGTGAATACCGAAATGGAGTCCGGGTAGCTTTTGGATGATGTAAATGAGGACGAAAACGAGGACCAGATGCCGGCATCAATAAGTGCAGATTCACAATTATGAAAAGTACCCAATGACCTTTGTTCGTCAGCTCCTGGCAACGGACCTACACCTGCCGGACTTGTCTGTCATCCCTGACGGGTCTGGATGAGCTCAGCCTTTCACCCAGCGGTGACTCGTGATCCAGTCTGGGTGCAGGGGCGTTCTCCGGGGCGCAGGGGCGTTCTATGAGCTGTTTCGCCCCGTCTGTGGCCGGCTGAGTCGCACCACGTGCACAGGGCAGCGTGCACACGCTACCTGACGTGCACACCGCCCGGAACAGCGACCAGAGCTGATATACATAGAGCGAGCATCGCGGTTTGTTGTGTAGCCAAGGCCAATTTGTGGGATCAAGGTTCGTGGAAGCTGTGCCTGCTAGTATCTCTCGACGAGTAAGCTCCTTTTCACAGAGAAGCCGTGCGTGATGTGATTTGAGCGTTTCGCTAAACGCCCCAGTTAAGTACCGCAAAAACAAATCTTTGCTGCTATCATGAATCCATGACCATTGCGTAATTTCGAAATATTTTCGGTCAATTTAAAGAGCTTTCTTTGATTGCAGGATATAATAAGTCATGGTGAAAAGTTTTTTTATCGGGTATGTTATGTAATTCATGGAACATAATTGCATGTAACATGCAATTATTTTTATTTATTTTGAATGTTAAATGGTCATATTTGCTATTTCTATCCGTACACACCACACACGTTGCTTAGTCTTCCAGCAAATAGAGTCACCAGACGGCCTTTTTGCACCTCGTGAGCCTTATAATAGGCGATGACTGGCAAAGTGCAATTATTGATATATTCTTTCTCCAGGCCAGTGAAAGTGATGTGCATTTATTTGCAAACACTTTGTGATTTTTTACTGATTCTTTTGTGCTCGTTTTTAAGCGTACTGAAGAAGAAATACATAACGTACTGAAGAAGGTATCATGCTATAGTCAGCTAAATAGTGTGGCTAACGCATCTAGGCGTCCATTTTGTGAGATTCATTTGAGCTCTTAGATCTCCTAACGAGCCGCAGTCAGTAGCGGGAAAATATGGGTCTACTCCATCCGTTAG